CTTATAGCTATTGAGTCGATTTCATTTCATTTAGCAAACAGTTAATAATGATGAGGAAAACATCAAGAGAAACTTTTCAATGATTTCCGTTTATGTAGGAACTTTAAAATACCCAGAGCTCTCAATCTATCTTCTTTTGTAAGAACTAAAAGTTTACTTTTAAACTCTCTACATGAAAGGTTTTTCTATTGCTAAGAAAACATCTTTCTATTATCATGAAAAAGTCAGATCTGATGGGAAATAATCAAGATGAAATTAAACAAAGGAATATTTAGACAGAAGTGAAGTTAGTTTTTCTAATACTCTAGTCTGGCTAAAGTGTCTGGAAGGGAAAAACAAATCCATTACATGGTACAGCTCATTAGATGAGACATTATTAACCAGACTGTCCAACAAAAACCTTGGACCCCATTTTTGCAGCAGGAAAAGAATTACTTCCCTACTCCAGTACTACACTTAAAGGTAATGAAATGTTCAGTTTAACCCAGTTTCATTCACAGTGGCTGTCAAAGTAGACATTTACATTTCAAAACAAGAAAACCTTTTTGAAAATATACATCATTTATGCCTCTATTAGAAACCTATGTAAATACAGGGAAGGACATGGAAGCAGAAAGCTTGAGTCATCAGGAACAAAGGAATTGTACCAGGTCTCCAACAATTGGGAAAACTGGTTCATTATTACATTATGTCTTGCTAATAAACTCTTTTCTCCATGTTTAACAGCAATAGTATTTTCATAGCATCAAAATATATGAGCAGGTTAAATTACTCACTGTCTGAATCAGTATTTATGTATTAAAATCATTCAATTTGGAAGAAGAGAGAAAAAAAGATATTTAACAGCAGAAAAAGCAGCCTTTTATCAAAAAAAGAAAAGTGCTTAGAAGATGCAAAAAACCCCTCCTGCAAATCAAATCCACCATTAAATGAAACTTTTCACATTGGAGAAGCAGCATCTTAATTAATTTAATAGAGCTGGCAATGAAGTATTGCCAATTACATTAACAGCATCATTCTAACATAGTTAGGAATTCCTGAGATAGAAGTTCAGAGCATAAACTTGTGATTCTCAAGAGATTTTCTTTTGTACTCAACACAAATATAAAAAGTAACACCAGCAATCAGATCTAACACTAGAAGTGATAATAGGTAAAGACTGAAAGCTCATGGGGAAGCAACAGTCTTCTGTTATAAGGCACAGAACAAGCAATTCAAATAATCATGGGTTTTTTTCTTGTTTACAGCTACTGATATGTGACACCAGGAGATCCACTATTAATGCTGACAGTATCAAAAAAAATGAGAAACACACAGAAGCTGGAAGAAGAGAATCAATGCTGACATTAATGTAAGATTTTTTTGTTTTTAAATCAAGAAATAATAATAGCAACATCTATGCAGAAGTTTATCTCTGGTTTTACTTCATAAAGAAAAAAGAGCTTTCTGTCAATAACACCACCTTTAAATGTAGAGATGTTTTATGCCTTTTACTCCATTAGTGGAAACAAATACTGATAAATAGCATGGAACAATACTTGGCACAGTCATTTTTAATGATCAACTCGTTCATCAATAGCTTTAAATCACTCTTTTCCTTGGGAGGCAGGAGCAGTAAGTCTTGTTGGGCTCAGCAGTAACAGCAGACCTGCAGTCTGATGGTCACACAATCAGTTAAAAGACAACAGCAATAAATTTATGTTTCATAATAACTTTTTTTTTTCTTTGTGACATGTCCATTACAGAAAAAATCATTAATGGCCTTATTTACAGAGAACGAGTCCCAGCCTCGAACAAACCCAATTTACCAATGACACTCTGCCAACAAATGGTGATTCACCAACTGAGCAAGAGAATTAACCATCATTTTCTGTACAAAATAACAGTAGACAAAAATATAACTTGGCAGTACTTCCCTCTTGTTAATGTGGACACTAATTAGTTATATAAAAAAGATTTGAATTAAATATGTCAAGGTCTCAGAACTGTTTGAGTTCCTCTTTGCTTAATTAATCCAAATATTTAAACTAGCTTCTTCGTGTAATTTGGTGTTTCAACCAGAATCCCACAGACAGGCATATAAAATTATTATTTGCAGACTGCTTATGTAGCTCCCTTTTGAAACCTGCAACTAATATGAAGATATAATCCCTTTATAAAAAACATTCTTTAAGAAGCGTGGTCTCTGTTAATTAGCCAAGCACTTATTCTATTCTCTGATTTCCAGACCTCACATAGCAGACAAGTTATTAACTTTACTGATTCCTCTTTTCCTTGTTGAGTTTAGAATATTCATTTCAGCTAAAACTTCTTCCTTACTTTTCCCAGAAATTAAGGGGAAAAAAATATTGTGGAAGCTGCAGTGATTAGGAACTGTTCAAAATTTTATTTTTGGAAAAACAAACCAGCACAGAAAGCAAACACTGCTGTATGCATTGGCCCATCTTAGTTTTTTATTTCCCCATAGTTCTCTTTAAATTATGTTCCTTGCAGCATCCACAGAGAGCTCTGCACTTAGTGTGATTATTACTTGAGTTCCTTTCATGGGACAAACTACAGTTTTTCATTGTTATCCCCAGAATCCTGACACTTATACTCTGTAGGCTTTTCTAACATTTATTAATTTTCCCTAGGAATACATTCTCTCTCTCTTTCACACAACTTCAGCACTACAGTGGGCACTGAACAAAACCCAAAAACTGGTGAGGTTTCAGTCTCCCTTACCTCCAAACAATGCTACAACACTGTTTAGCAGCAGAAGGAAAAATAATACCTGACAGTTTCTTTTGTTGTGGTCTAAAAATGGAATTGAATTATCATTTCAAGCATTGTATCCAAAGGCTCAGTGCAGGATCTTCCACGTATTCACAAATTATGGTAAACTTCTATCTAACTAAATAAGACAGGCTAATCTAACTTTCCTTCTAAAATGGACTGATATTAATTCAAAATGCCTGTTTCACCTTCTTTTCTGTTCCAACCTATACTCAGAGCTCACACAAATTAAAATTATTGTTTTCTCTCAGAATTTTTAAGCTTTCCTTTGCAACCTGCACCTGGTAGCAAGAATTTCATGTGAACAGACTCACAGTTTCTTCAAGATGAGATGAGCTCCAAAAATTCACATTTCACCCCATTTGCACTGTCATAACTTACAGGTAATCTGTAATTACATTGTGTTCCTGGCTAGTACTGGAAGAAATATCAATATTCTTTATAAGCAGATCCTTCTTCCAGAGGAAATCTTCTGGACACATGGCAAATTGTGAGCACCCATGGGAACAAAGGGGGATCTGTGCTGGGCTGTTCCATCACTGTCAGTACATTTGACATGAATTCAGAAATCTAGCCAGCATTTGGAAGCAATTATTCCTATAAATCTTTTTAATGTCACAAACTGTATGACAGTTATATTAATTACAAATAGTAAGATCCTACAGAAGGGAAAGCCATACAGATAAAATGCTCACAACAGGAATTTCATCCTTTACTTTTTAAATGGGGCTTTAGGATAAACATGCAGAGGGGATGCACTCTCAAAATTAAAGAATCAGAAGTGAGATGGAAGGTGTTTGCTGGGACTTAAAAAAAACACAAAATAACAAAACATTGTAGTCAAGTTTTATTAATTAACAGGTGCAAGGCAAGGCTGTTAAAGGGGTTCTTTCCACACTGCTGAGGAGAACACAACTGCTGTTACTAGAATTACAAAATATTACCTAACACCACAGAAATAAAGCAGAAGTTTGTTTCCTTTTCAAAACAGAGGGCATGAATGGAATGCTCATAGTAATGTGGCATTTATTAGGATGAAAGAATCGAGACCTAATAAAGTGATAAATAGATAATAAAAAGACTGCTGCAAAGCTCCAGACAATTTAGTTTTCAGATCACTGCCATGGATTGTGTTGTGGAGTCAAAGCAATAAAGGGAGAAAAAAACCAAATAGCTCCAGGACCTAATAACTTACTCCCTTAAATGGCAAATACGTGTTTTAATGGAGATAGAACTACCAACACCACTAGGTTAGAAAAAGGCTAGCAACTTTTCAGAATGGCATTCTTGCAAATACAACAGCTAAAACTGATAATAGAATTTGAACTGACATATCCATAACACCTGGAGAGTCACATATATAACATTATAAATAACTTTCCAGAAGTGGAAGCTTTTTTTCTTTCTCTGAAACAATGTTGCATCACATTTTTCATAATACTTACACAGACTAAATCAGGGAGTGTTTATTACCAAATGCTTCAGAGGCAAGTCAAAGAAACATCAGAATAAGTACTCATTTGGCAAACTTACAGGAAAAAAACATCTAAAAAGCATAATTTATGAAAGTGAAATTGAACTCCATTTCATGCATATCACTTCAAACTGTTTTTGTCATTAAGAATGTGCCTTACACTATTTTCCATTGATGTAAAGTATTGATAAATTCAGAAACCTCAGGTTTTATAATATGCAATAGGGTAATTAGTTTAAGGCCTCACACCCATGGAATATTCTGACTCCAGATGAGCTGCACAGGCATTGCTGAGCACCCAACCTGACACACTCACTGCAGACAGTGTTTATTATGGCAGGAGGAACACTCCCCCTGCGTGGCATGTTACATCTGGGAAATACACAGGTTTAAATGCAAATTGAGAAACAGTCTGGAAAGACCTGATTAGGATGAGAAAAATGTGCTCTGTGCTGAAGAATAACAAATATGTTACTTTGAAGCCACCAAAAGGTAAAAAAGCTGTAGGGCATGCAAGTATGGTCAGACTTTGTCTAACAAACAAGTTACCCCCCCAACCTCTTAATATATTATTTTTTAAAATAAAATTTAACCTGCTCTAAAAAAGACAAACAAAACCCAACCAGCTAATGTGAGGTTAAAATTCTTCAACAAAATAACTACCTATTGCTGTCTAATGTCAACTGATCTTTAGAAGGTCAGCCATGTAACCTCATAAACCACATGTGAAACCAAACATTTTGTGTCTAACCTCTGCTGCCAGCTGCTGAAGAGAAGGGGATGCAACGGGGTGTAAAGTTGAGTTGCCTGTGACTGGATTATGGAGGCTAATGTAGGCCACAACATTTCTCTGAAGAACGCTCCTGAAATCCTACAACACAAGCAGAAAAATGGTTAGTGCTATGAATCATTATAATTAAGGCTGGTTTTGCTCTTTTGGTTGATTCCAGGGGAAAACTGCACCCTGCATTTCCATCCTCTGTGATTCCCCAAGTATTAGCTAACTACTGCTTCTTACAATATGCTGTTATGAACTTCAAAGGATATCTTAGTGCTATTTCTCTGTATAGCAGAAGTTGTAATTCCATTTCACACATATTCTAAAGAAAATGCAAACAGGTCTGGGAGGAATTAAAAATTACTACACTTGTAAGGCCAAAAATGAAAACATTACACACACTGTGAAACAACATGATGGCCTTTTAAACTTATGCCTGACAGAAGACAAACTTCAAAAGCAATCAATATCAACAGTTAAATGGACTCAAATATTTAGAGACCAAATTCAGATTTGAATTGCACAACTTCCCCAGTGTTTTAATTTTATTATTTTTTAGACTATAAAAATAGCATGTACAAACTGTTTCAATTATTATCTCTTTTTTAAAAGGATCCCCTTTGCCTTCTCAGTAATGAGTTCCTCTTTGCATGAAGTGCCTCTTTATATTGAACAGAAGGGGTGTAACGCAATTACATCTGATGCAAAGCTGACTTGAAGTGGAACTAAACAAATTTTGCTTCCAGCCTGGATCTTTTCAATTTGATTTTTTCACCCCCTCTTGTTTCTGAAGAATAATCATGTTGGAAGTATGAAATTTCAATGAGGGCTGGCTGCTTCTTAGGCACAGTAAAAAGCAATTAACTCTTTATTTCATCTACTGTTTTAATTCATTGAACCATTAGAGCTGGAAAAGCAGCCATGAAATTCTCTGCCTAAAGGAGTAGAAACTCCTTTAATTTATGACCTGAAGTCTACTTTAACCATACATGATCATCAATACTTTTTGAGGTATTTTCTTTCCACTAGCTGATTCCCATTCTGCTGAAAGTAAGAGCCCAAGGAATTGTCTGTTTCAGATTGTATCCAACTCCTGAGCACAAATCTGTGAGAAGTGAATCAGCACTAGCCATGGAGATACTGCAAGGTTTATTTAATTAATGTAAACCATTCCCAGATCTCTTCTTTCTCTCTTGATTCACTTCTCCCCACACTAAGCCTATTGAGAAATTATTAAATATTAAACCCTCACGAAGGTGAAAAAGCTCTCTAATCTCTCCCTGTGCTGATGTCATTTTTTGAGGTTTTCCTCACTCTGTCAAACCCTGGCAATGCCCTTTTACAACTCTGTGCTGAATTAGGGAGGGAAATCATCTCCCAGAGGTGCTGTATGTGCAACCTCCACAGCCATGGCAACATCCTGCCACCTCGTTATCCCCAGGAATGCCTCAAGAGATGTTTTCCCTGGATTTGCTGTGCACAAACACAGTTAATGAGACACCATTTCCACGTGGCAATTTTCCTATTGATTCCAGGCTCTCAGCAGAAGGAATCCTCGTTGCAGTGAGCTGTCCCAAAGCAGTTTTACCTCAGCCCACTCGTAGGAGCCGATGTTCCCCAAGGCTGTTCCTCCCCAGGAGCAGAAGAGCACGGTCCTGTCAGGCCTCCAGCCCTTCTTCACCTTTGGCATCAGGGCTTGGAGCAGGGCTGTGGTGACAGCAGTGCTGCTGGCCCAGCCTTGCCCACCATAACCCTTCAGACTGCTGTGATGGCTACCAACGATGACGTATCTGTCTGAAACGAGGAATTAAAAAAAAATAAAAACAAACCAAAAAAACAACTTTTTTTTTTTTGTTTTTCTTTTTTGGATACTCAAGATTAAAAGAATTCCAAGCAACCCTAAAAATGAACCACATTAATAGTGTGTAATGTCATTAATGCAACACAAAGCTGTCAGCCAAAATGTAGATGATGACATGCAAGATCATACAAGAATTATACATAAAACTGTGAGTACTACTTAAAAATGAGCTAGTAAGTAAATATGTGTAGACAGTTTCCTAAATTAATCCCCATGCCCTTGCCTTCCTTGTTTGCTTACTGCTCTCCTTATAGATCTGATACAGACCATTTCTACAGCCAGGACTAGGTCATATAGACAATCATGCTCACAGTAGAGTGCTATGGAAAAAAACACAAAATAATAAGCAGGAAATGATCTTTAGTGCACATCTGCATCCAAAAATAAAATAAAAAAAATGTGTGGCAGTACAATGGGAAACAAAGAAAAATAAATACACAGAGTATTAGTACTCCCTCACCTGGAAGACTGTGTTCAGTGCTCACCAACCTATCTCAAAAAAGACATGGCAGAAACAAGAGTGGAGCAGCTGGCAAGCAGATTAGAGATCAGCACTTAGCCTTCTGTGGAAGGAGACATTAAAACACCTGGACTGCAGGTTTAGAGAGGAGACATGACAGAGGGATTGAGATAATGAATGATACAGAAATGGAAAGTCACACCTAGAAGCTGTGTTAATGCTGGAAGAAATCATTTTACAGAATGAAAACCAAGAAGTTTCAACCTGAAATAAAGAATATGCCTATGGTTACTCATGAAAAAAACACCCCAAAAAACAAACACACCTTTTTTCCAGAGAAACAAAACTAAATCTTCATCTCTCAAGGCACTGTATATAACCCTAATACCACTCACAAGGGAAAAAAAACCCCTTATTTTACTTCAGAACCGATGATGTGTTATGAAATAACATGACTGACTGGTGTGACTGAGGCCTGTCAAGAAGTCGAAGCAGAGTTATTCTGGATGAGCTATTAAACTATCAGACCTTCTGTGTGAGATGAATTCACAGCCCTCTTTGATGGATTGCTTACTGGTTTTGCTCTGATATTTTGTAAAGTCACCTTCTGGCCCAGACCTAGACTTTTAAAGGTGCTCTTTCCCTATTTCAGGATACCAATAGACAACAGAACAGTTATCAACAGGGAAGAACAGCAATGCCAGACCCACAACAATCCCTCAGTGTCATTTGGATTCCAAAAAGTGCAAAAGTTTTCTTTTTCTTTCTTTAACCAAGTGAACTCACTCACTTGCTGCCAGTTGATCCAAAGTAGCAACAGAGAGTTGACCACATTTTCTTTGCTTATAAGATTAAAATATCTACTTGGCATGTTTTTCAGTGACTGCTGCCTGGAAACAATATTAATGGAACACTTTGATTATAAAACTATTCTCTATCAAACTGGAGTTTTACCAGTATTGTTCAAAAAAAAAAAAAATTTCAACATATTGTTTAATAAGGAATCAAAAATGCTTTACAAAGAAAGGATCTGTTATGTACCTATAATACAATCTTTTCAATCAACTGCTTGGGGGGTGTGTAGGTATGGAAATGAGAATTTCTTTCTAAAAACAGATATGCAAAGTGTCAATCTCGACTTACATAATAATTTCATGTAACAAAATGAAATCTAAATCACATAATTTTGCAACTTGTGCGTTGCACCATGAAAGGCTTAATTATAGGTTGCACTGACAATGAAAAAACATAGGATCTTCAACTCATTTAATGACAGGAATTAGGAACAAAAATGAATGGCCTTACACGCCTCTAGGTCATTAAAGGAAGTGCCACTAACACAGGGGGCTCAGACAGGATCAATGCTTGCCTGTGTAATAATTTGTTTAGCCTGTGAACAGACTATGTGAGAGGAGAGAAACTTTATTAAAATAATGCAGGATATTTTGATGGAGAAGGAGCCACAAGCATCCACTTACTGCTGGAGATGCCAGCTGAATGAGCAGGGGCAAAACATAACAGCTGGTGCCTCCTTTGAAATTCTTCATCTGGGCACATCCCTCCCTCAAAGAGAGGCAAAACTCTGAAGCAAATGACTACAGGAAAAGCACAGGAAAAAGGATGGTCATGCTTGCAGAGGCAGCAGCTGTCCTTTCTCAGAATCACATGGCATAAAAAGAAAAAAAGAGAAAGAACTCGAGATAAAGGAAAAAAAAATATCCATCAGATACCCTTGAAGGTGATTAGACAGGAAGTGTTCAGGTTAGTGATGGGCTGGACAACAGGAATTTATGATTAAAAAGAGCCTCTTTATCCTGTCTCTTCTTGTTATACATCCCATCTTCAACCACATCCAACAGAGCTACAAAAGCAGTGTTATATTTTTTGGGTTTTAAAATGCTACCAACTATCATATTTCATCTGCTTCTAAATATTTTAACATCTTAGTTACACTTCAGATGCTCGTTCTTACTCCTCAGATCAAATTCCAGCTAAGGTCACCATTACAGAGATGTGCTTGTCTGTATGTGTGTGTCAGGTGGTCTTCAAGCAAAAAAGAAATATATTCCACACTTGGTGATGCTCTGCACTCTTTCATTAATCACTAAAGATAAATTTTGCCTTCTTTCTGCACTTCTGTGAACATAAAGGTGAATATTTCATGTGTATGAAACGAGCAAAACCCCATCAAAATGACAGAGAATCAATGCCATGGAAATATCAAGATTCAAAGCTGTTGAGAGGAACGACTGTAGCATCAACCACGAAGAGCAGAGAAGGAAACAAAGGTTTAACATTGATTCTGTACAAAATATCACAGTGCATTAGATATTTAACTTGATATTTACTAGAAGTCAGTTGTTATGGCCCTTGTTGAGCTAGACATCCATGGGACAAGCAGTTGCCATCGGGGTACTGCTACTGATTTCACTTATTTACATATCCTTAGATTCCTGAAGTTCAGCATAAACTGGCTATCCTCCAAAAAGTAGTTTCTGATTAAAAGTGGTAATAAATAAGATGAAAGGTTCTGGTATAGAGAAGATAGAAGACTTGTTAGACAGAGACTGAAGCACACTTTTTATTATTTTTCTTGCCTCTGTTTCACAATTCAGAAGACAGAATGTCTAAACATGGCAGTTTCTGCCTTTCCAACTCCATGACAGCTATTTGCAAAACATTAATAACAGCAGACTGCTAACTTCAAATTCATGAAGTAAATTAAATCCTTCACAGAAATTTAATTCACTGTGCTAATTGTTTCCTCTTTTGCTTTAAACAAACAAAGTCTGGTGAGAAGTATACAGTTCTGCACACACAAAACTGAGTCCTTATTTCACCAACAGGAATAAAATTTTCTCCACCTCCCTCATTCCATTACTTAAAATAGGAAATGACTGGTCCACCTCCTAAGGGACTGTAAATAAATTTCCATTCTTTATTCATAACCTAATAAAAATGTATTAAGGCAAGCATGATGATGTTTTGATGGTCATCTGCACCCTAGGAATTGTTTGCACCATTTAAGTAACCACTAACAGCATTCATTCACAGGTTGTAGAAACCCTTCACCTTTTAGGCAAATTCACTAACTAACAAAATAATCTCAAAATGATCTGATATCCTGATTATGACATCATTTATGTACAGCATCAAAGGACAGAATGGGGTCTTGCTTTATGTGCCAGTTGCACTTAGAGCCCTATTGTTCAATCATCAGACATAGAGAACAGTAATTACTATTCATAGAATTGTATAAAACGAGCTTAAGGCACGAATGAGACACAAAATTAGGCTGCAGCAAGTGTTAAAACTATATTAAAATTAAAACCATAACGCAGTTACTTGGTACAAACTACTGAAACTCTCTGTGGTCCATGTGCAACACCTGCTGCTTGTGTAAAAATATGCTTTTTGTAACTACAGCATCCCCCTCAGCTCATTCTCTGTTTGACCCTCACATTCTGTCACATCATAAATCACAAAATGAGTACAAAAAAGGCTTTTTCTTTCCTATGTATTAGTGAATTATCTGGCAAAATAGGATCCTGATCCCAGCTATGACTCCCACCCAACATGGAGCAAATAATAAATGCACATGACAAAGGGATACTTACCAGGAAATACAGCTCCTTTTAGATATCCAATGACATTAGAAATTGTCTTGTAAGTTGTGACAGATTGAATGTTCAGACTGATTATTTTTTTGCCTGTTAAAAGATGAAAAAAAAAAAAAAAAAAAGGAAATGTTAAACTATTTATCCAGCCAAGAAACATCCAGGTCAAAGATATAAATTCCACAAATATTAAAAATAATAATTTATAATGAGAAGGTAAAAAAAAACCCACAAGCAAACCTGAGATTAAAACATGAAATAGGACATTATTTTCTTAGTCCCATTTATCAGCATGATTCAAAGATGGAATCTCAAAGGAGATCTCTACTCCTTGAGTTAAAAGATCATTGAATTCACTCAATAAATGCTGCCAGAATACAATAGAAAAAGAAATAAATTAAAAGAGTAGGATTTACATACCTCTGTGATAACAAAATTTGCCTTAATCTTTAGAGGTTTTTTTTCACTTAATCCTTAGCCTAGGTAAATCTATCAATAACATTCATGAAATTATACCTGGTTTATATTGCATTTTCTTCTGGAGAAAAGCCCCTGTGTTAAATCAGATGGGAACAGTCAGACCTCCCCACAGCTTTGCCAGCTCAGCCTTTGGTGATGCTCTTGAGAACATCACAAGATGTTCTGCCAACAGAAGCCAGGGGTTTTGGTTTAGCTGGCATCAGATGAAAAAATGGTGCAAATACAAAGGCAGAATGATTTCAAAAGCTGCTAAAATCTAAGGAATTTGCCAGTACTGCCATGCCTGTGGAGATTGGAGCACAGAACAAAGCCAGAGCAGAGCAAATATCTGAGTTTAAATAGATTAAAAGAAGGTGGGACACAGAAACCACCTGAGCTCCTGCAGTTTGTGACAGTGGAAGCCAACCCACCAGCCACGGGGAGCAGCTGACACTTCCCAATGTTCCATTTGCCTGGTAACAGACTGTGGTAACATCCAGCTCATCTGAAAGGTCAGAACTTCTATCTGAGAGAAATGAAGATGTCTTGAGCTGCTTGAACCCTAATAGAATCAGTTGTGTGACAAGAACCAGCCTGGGCCCAGAGCTGCAGGGAGATTCTCCTCCATCCATGACCCCGTGGCAGAACTGTGCTCAAAGGCATCTCGTGGGCAGAATTCCTTCCATGTCCATACCCCAACTGCCACAGACCAAAATGAAAATATTCCACAGATCACTTTGCTCTCTTGGTCCCAGGTTATCACCCTCCCACAGATCTACTTCTAATAGTTTCTTCCCAGGCTTTGTTTCCTGAGATGCACAGAATATGAGAGTGGAGAGTTTACTGCAAGATGTGAAACAAAAACAACACATCCTTACCGTTCTTCTGCTGGTTCATATGGTAAATTTACTTAAAAATTTTCTTAAAATAAAATACAATATGTTTTATTTCATTAGTCTTCATTGGTATTTTAAAAAGCAAGCCAACTGCTAGTTTTTGTTTATGAATTATGAAAATGAATTAGCAATAGTTATTCTATTTTTTATTCAGACCAAACCTCTTCTGTTATCAATAGATGTGGCTTCTCTATGACAATTCTGGCTTTGCTTGAACAAACCAGTAAGGAAAATGCAAGCCAGGCAGTTAATTAAAAATAAACACTACATGCAACAAGGTATACGTACAAAAGTGACTAATTATAAAATAGTACATACTTAAGAATGTATATAATCTCAGAAAAACACTGTGGGATACTATAAAATTTCATATGCAAAAATCAACACTGAATCTATGCAATGTACAGGATTGCTGAGGTATAAAACTATTTGTACAGGAATTTGTCAGAACTCCTAGACAGATGTAATGAAAAGCCTTCACATTTTCTTTGTGTATAAACAATACACCATCTAAATCTGGTATCCCTAACATTTTTTCCTAATAGATTTCTATTTGATTAATCAACATACTTTCCTTTTTGAACAAATATTCATAGATCTTAAGTCTCCAAGCCTAATCTTAGCATGAAGAGCTTAATGAATAAGCTCCTTGGTATTTGATCATCTTTTTTGACCTACAATGAGGAATCCAGAAATAAAACTCTTCAGATGAAGAGCTTTTGAAATAAGAAATGCCTAGAATAAAGTCCTTTAAGGAGGCCCTAAACTAGGATGGCCTAATGTGATACAGAATAAATGTGTCACAGTCAACATCAAAGAGAGTTGAAAATGCTTCAGATGGCATAGTTGAATTTCATAATCTCACACTACTTTCATTCTTTACCTGCTTTATAGCAATCAAAAGCAAAGCATCACACATGAAAACATTGCAGCAGAACAGAATTCTGAAAATATATCTTGATCATTTACAATTCTGGTAGAAAAACTCTCGAGGCTTCAGGTGGGAGTAGAGGGAAGATATATAAAAAATGCTTCACACTGTTCATGCTTAATTCTTCGCATGAACTTCTGTTTAAAACAGGATCAGAATTTAAAGTTTTCACGAAAAGAAAATCTGAGAGTACTGGTACAAATGTCTGTAAGTTTTCATATACAGGATGTCTGAATTAGATCAGAGATCCCTATTTAGCTTGTTCCTCTTTCAAATGCCAGTAAGAGACAACTGCAGAACTTTGTTATATTTCTACTGTTATGTACAGTGATTCCAGATTTGGTAGATACAGTAACATGCACTGCCACACAATCTGCTGGCACCTTTCTCTATTTACTTCCTTAGATTCTTTAGCACAGTCCAAATACCCAGAAATGGTGGTATTGTTTGCATATTGGTTTCACAGTGTGAGATAGCCCAGCCAGAGTTTATTAAATATGGTAGTTTTTATTTTCTCTGACAGGCAGCAAACTACGAAGGAGAAACACATATAATATTATCACAAGGCTGCAGTTTAACAGGAGGAGATATATGTCCTTTCTCACTCCATGCCCTTCCTCTGACTGAAAAGAAGGCAGGCTTGATTTGCACTAGTGCAGCACTTGGCAGAGAATTTTATTTATCTTGGATGAGAATGGTATAATATGGAAAGTAACAGACTCTTCCAATTATCCCTTTCATATAATTAATGATTCAAATTTCACATGATCAGAGTTGACTATAAACTCAGTATAACGAACATCTGACATGTGGAACGATGTAAAATAGAAGTTCAAAGTCTCATAAAAATTCATTGTGTTGTGCTACAACCTTTTCCAGTGACAGTCAGTTCTGGTTATCTGTTCCACTCACCCATTTTGTCAGAGCAGGTAGATTTATTTGCAGCCTACAATGGAGCTCTGCACTGCAGTCATTGTGATGATTCACTATTGATCAGTGACTGTAATTTGTAGACTAAAAAAAGGTTACAAAAGATCAAAAGATTCTACCTAGAAAAGCATTTTGATCTGAGTAATTTTACTGTCTGCAGCAGAATGCTGGGAGTCTTTGTATACCTGGCTCTATTATTCACACAGCGTTTGATATCATTCAAGTTACTTAAACTATTCATGCTTTGGCTTTATACTTTTTGAAGTTAAAGTATAAAAAAATTACACCTATTGCACAGGAAAAGGCATTAGGAGGTGGTAAGAAATGGGATGTTTAAGTGAGATCACTTGCATGACACTTCTTGCCAATTGAGCTGTGCTGCTCAGCCCTGCTGGGTCACACCAGCTGCTCATCCTCATCCTCATCTCCAAGAGTGACCAGCAACGGAAATGGGGAGGAGAATGGAGGAATAGGATGGGCCACAGAACAGGATGATGCCCCAGACACCTGGAGACTGATCACTACTGAAATCCTGGATCTTTCTCATCTTCTCTCTTCTCAGACATTAATCAGGTTGAGTATGAAAACTGACACTTAAAACCAAAGGGAAAAATTACACACATAACACTAATGTGTTTAAATACCAGGCTTCCAGGATTTCCATTCAAACCAAAGTATATGGTCATTAGTGTCAAAAAACACTTTGTAAAATAATTACCATTAGATACATTTACATTAAATACTCAAGAGTTTAATTGAAAAAGGGTAATGTGTACATTACTGTAATCTCCCAAATAGTTGGAAACAACAAAGGCAGTTCACTGTACACAGCAAGACTTTCTTCATTTATAAAAGTGTTTTAGCTTTACAATAACTTTCACAATGCTCTAGCAAATGTCTGAGTAAGATTTTGTAAAAAAAAGAGGAAGTTTCAAAAGTTTACAGTTGCTCTATAGAACTTCACTCTGAAATTCCTTCTAATTGCCTATCTTTGGGAAAAAGTTCACGGGAGCACAGAATTTCAGATTAATGAGGATTAACAATAATGTACCGTACCAAACAAAAAGCAAATCTAATTACTGACTTCATCTAACACAAAATTAACAGCTGACTTCAGTTCCCACTGTTTGCTCTGTAGGTCTTGAGCTCTCAAACTATGTGGGATGTTTGCCTCCATCCTCCCACTCCCTCTGTCACATTTTGTCTCTTGAAAACTGCAAGGCTAAGGGAAAAAAAGCAGCAATGTGAGAAAACTATATATAAATGTTTAATCATTACTGATGAGTCTGCTGTTCAGCTTTTTGAAACATAATGATGAGAGAATGATGATCATTTTATCCTAACAAATTTTAAGCCAACCAATCATCTGAATTGCTCATTCACCTCTTTTGACAGATAAGTGATGAGTCCTACGTCAGAAGTGAAATCTCTCTCTTAAGCTTCTTCAAATCAACAGGAAGACTGCAAATTCAACCTTCTCTCTTCTCAAAATGCATTGCTGTCCTCAGCATTATCTCTTTAGCTATTACCAGTATTAAATAGCTATACACCATTTCTTATCAGAAGACCAGTCTTTTATCTCTTCCATTACTGAGCAACAGCACACTCTGTGCTCCAGAACATCGACAGCTTCACCATTAATACAACAAAAAATATATCATAATAAATTACAGAATTATACAAGGATTCTTCTTATAGTCCCTATTTTCTCAATAAATCAAGACTTTTAAAAAATTCCCCCATGGATTACTGTGGTTCAGAAGCTTTACATGAAAACAGACAAAGCTGTTGTGTTCACCCAGAGTGAAGCAGACATGGACTGGCTCTCACCAGACTGCTGGCTTGGAATATTCTTTCTTTCCAGAAATTCTCCTCTCACAGAATTCCTGTCTTCTCAGGAAAACAAAATAGACATGCCACACCTGTCATAGGAAGAGGAGAATAAGCTGCCCTTCAGGGTGATTCTGTCCTGCAGCCTCCAGACAAAGCTTTTTGAGAAGCAGACATTGTGCAGCCTTTTATCTTCCTAAAATGAGTGTCATTTTCCAGCCCAAATTCAGGCTTTGCTCCAGGCACTTCAGCTGTTGAAAATTCCTTCAATACTAACAAGCTCCATGCATCCTACCTGGAATGGTTAAGCACTTGTTCCTTCCAAAATGGCCTTTTCCCTTTTTTCTACTGGTTGTGGGGACAGTCATTTTTAAAATTAAAAGTTGACTGTTAAAGTATCTAGTCAGCCATGCATGGAGAACAACTGTCCTGCCTGACCACAACAGCTTAAGCCATGAAGCATGAGGTCATCAGCCTTCCTTTTTAGTATGTATAACTACAAATGCTAACACAAGTCATAAAATTAATCAACCTTTTTTATGACTTGTTGTATCGTACTCATATTCCACAATAACCTTCCAAAAGCAATAAACAAGGGATACAGCACATGATAGTGCACTGACTGCCCTTAACATTTGTTTTTACTGTTATCATCACTGTGTGCAGCACAGGATACAGTGGCTAAATTAATTTGCCTCCTCCTTTTCAAGACCACGGTTTCAAATTGATTCATTCAAATGGGCATTATAATAAAATACACCATTTTTTGCTGGTGAAAGACAGACAGGTACAAAACCAAACTGAAGACTGTTTATTGAAGAATTACTGTTTAAATATGTACCTCATCTAGAATGTTCTCTGGAAGATGTTCCTTTGGTGAAACACTTGCTGGAAGACTTTAGTCTTACTTTTTTCCCCTTCCTATTTCAGCAACAAGTTCTTTCAAGCAATAATCTGTGTGACTTTGCTAATGGCATTATTTCTAGGGAGATACTATGAATGCACTAATCTGGCTCCACTCAAGGTGTTTTCTCCTTATCATGATGCCCGTTTTCCTGGTGAAACTCGGAGAAAAAGCTGCCTGAAGGTTCAGGTATGCTGTTTATTCTATAGAATATACAAATTAAGGAACATAGAGACACATTTAGAATTTAAATGTTATTATTCCAGAAACAGATAAAAACCTCACAGAATAATATAGTTCCTGATGCCTTAATGTTAAAATCCCATTATTAGGAGTACAGCAAAGATTAACAAACCACATTTCAGCACTAACAAACTCTCCCTCAAGTGATGGTACCTACACAGAGGAGGTTCTAAGTCAATATTAAGAATTAGTGCCTTCTAAGAATCAATGCTTTCTACTATTTTCTATTTTTTTTTTAAACCACAACTTCCATCTATCAGATTTTAGAAGCATAATTTTTAAACTGTCCATAGCTTCTTCTAGAAAGCATCTAAGCAAAACGTACCCAGAATCAGCTAAACCTCTTAGTGCTAAAGTTGTAGAAAGTGGATTTGGAGTCTGTGAGGAACATTGCACAGGTGAAGTGTGTTTGAAAAGCATTACCTGCAGCTGGCAGCTGGAGAGGTGTACACCTGTCTTTTTGGGCTGTGTCCTCCCCAGGCAGGGAAACAAGTTTTCTGGCAAGCACTGCAGAAATTGGTTGTACCAGCAGTGTTGTGACGTTCAGTCGATTTTGCCTGTAGCTTCCATCTAAAATAACAGGAAAGGGAAGAGCAATTTAGTAAATGAAAATTAGATTTCTCTCCTTCATAAACCGAACACAAAAACGCAAATCTCTACCACACAGCTTAAAACAACTGATTTAGATAAGCAGCTGTTTTGTGCTTATAATACTGAAAAAAAAAACCCCAAAAAGAAAAAGCTTCTTCAAGAACATGTACTACAAAATAACATGTACATATTATGGTAGCTGGGCAATAGTTCCACAAGAAAGAAACTGTTAAAAGAGTCCGAGCAGATATTAAACTGTGAATTAAACACAACAAATTAAATTGATGTGTAGATAAAGGAATCATTGATAAATATAAGAACTGATCAGCAATAACTTTCAAATTCAAATAAAGCCTAAACAGCTGAAGGAGGTAAGAAGGTACTAAACAGACACATTGAGTGGGAAAAGGTTTGGATCAGAAAGCATCAGAATTCTTCATTTACAGCTGAATCATCTTAAGCAGACATAGTGCAAACCTCTCAGTATCAGCAGTTCCATGCAAACATTAAAATATCCCTTTCACTGAAAAAATGTGAGTTACCATACACATACCTGTCTAACATTTGATCATGGAAAGGTTTCTGATGAAATAATGAGATGTTTTGGGAGACCAGCTGACAGAACTGGGGTGGGGGGAAAACTGAACTTTGCACACAGAAATGCTCTGAAACACTTCAGGAAAAAACACCTTTTTTTCCTCAGCTATCACAGCTGGCCTGATGCAGGGATCATGTCTGCCCATGGAAAAGCAGGAACACTTCTGGCAGGTGAAAAACCCACCACAGAAAAGGAGGGGAGGTTGATAGCCTGGGGCAGGACACAGCTCCAACACAACCTGCAACACCCTCAAAGCCTCACAGTGCTCCTGCTCAGTCATGTCCAAACCTTCAACCAGAGATTCAGAATACAAGGATTGTCCCTGAGACCTCTGTGAAACAAACACCGTATTTCCTGTCAACATCGAGTTCTTTACTACCCAAAAGCATCCTTTAAATTCCTGCAGGCACAAAGGGAGGAAGCAATCAGCAATCAGCCGCATGTTTCAAATAAATTTCTATAAAACTACTACCAGGATGGTTGTTACTGAACCACATTATAAAGAAAAAAAAAATCTAGGCACATCTTCAATTTTATTTCTTTTTTGTTTTTAATTTTTTAGGTGGAAAGGTAAAGGTGATTTGAAATATAATTTTTAAAAAAAAGCTTTGTCTCATCAAAGTTGTTCTGGGTTCAAAATCACTTAAAGCTGTCACTTCAGTAAACTGACGGCAAAATCAGTTTGGTCAAGCTTTGAGAGTCTGTTTCTGCAATCAAAAAGAATCTTAAAAAGTCCATCAGAAATGTGCAATTGAGACATTATTTTCTGTCCAGTGTTTGTCAATCTGCAGACTGTATTACAGGGGCAATGAAGCTCAAAACGTTTCAGATGAGAAACATCTCTCATTTCACCAGCTACTCACAACTTGAGCTTCAGACCTGAATAACCTGTCAAAGACACACTTTCAAGAACAACTTACAGGAGAAACCCCTCTATATTTAAAAATGAATCCTCTCACAACAGAAGATGGAGTTTGAAGCATGGCAGAAAAAGGAAAAAAAAAAAAAATCTACAGAAAGGCAGATTTAAGTTATCTGGGCAGTTTTATCTGGAAGAAAAACTTTCTAATAGGAGGAATTCATAAAGACTTCCCTAGGCAGGTGATAAAAATCTCTTAAACTGAAATCTTTTTAGAGAAAAGTGTAAGCAAACATTTGTTAGGAATGATGCAGATATGGCTGATGCCTTGAGGGAAGGTGCTACATCAGATGACCTCCTGACATCTTTTCCAAACCTAATTTCTATAAAAATCTCTAGCAACTAAACTTAATGAACTGTTAACAGAGAGAAAAAACACTATTTGAATTAATATTAAAAAATGCTTTTTTTAAAGAAAAATAGAGTTCCTTTCTCACTGCCAGGCATTTATTAATGGCCACTTGTTACGGAGGCTGAGGAAAGCAACGTGCATCATGAGCAGATTGTAAAAGTGAATCATTCAAGACCAATCTCTTCAGTGCACACTTGAAAATCTGGAGATTTTCAGGACTGCCAGTTAAAGCCTAATCATTCAGGTTTTAAATACTCTTGGGCTTGGTCACTGCCAGTGAAACAGTGCAGAGTAACTTCATAAAGAAACAAACACACTGAAAGAACTTGGGGATTCTTGCTGGCACTTTCTCTGCTGGATGCCAAACCCTTCAGAGCACAGAGCGCTTTCAGGATCTGTGGGAACTACAAATGCTTCAAGGATCATTTAAATTTGGTATTTTGCTTGCCATGAAATTTAGTTTTATATCATTAAACTCTTCCAAGAAGCAGAATTCCTTCTTCTCTGCAAGTCTAACAATCTAACTGTGCCACGCCTAGAACCACTATTAATTTCAGAAAGTCCCTAGAGAACTTACTGTAAAGTGAGAAGGGAAAATATCATAATCAATTATTAGGTTAATTTAGGAACTCAAAAAGAGGCAATCTTTAGAAAGCTTCTGCACAGAAAGCAAGGCCAGAACTTCTACTTCTGCAGTGACTGTGTTTTATGTTTTCTTTTTCAATGCAAGCAATAAACCTTGAACACCAGTTTCCACCCTGCCCAGACTGGGACACACTCCTGCATTTCACAGCGCTCCATCACTTAATTCACTGGTGCTGACAACATGCTCTGGGATTTCTGAATTTAACAGGAATACTTGTGCACCATACCCTGCTCAGTTCTGAGTAAAAGTACAATTTTATCATCATTTCATTGACTTTTTGACTGAAAAATCAGAGAGTTAGTCACAATGTCATACTTCTCTAGCCCAGAAATACTGCTTCACCCACAGCATCCTCAGTACTATGGAAATAATCTTTTATTTGCATTTTTCTAAGAAGTTTTGCATTATGTGAATCAAATTTCTGTTCATTTTTGTTTGAATTCCAGCTTCAAAGGAAGATTGGACAGAACATTGTATTTAATCATTATGTGTTTATTCAAAGCACCTTCTGCCAGGATCATATAAAACAAAAAGTTAACAACTAAATCTGTCTAAAAAGCTTACTGACAGAACTCATCAAAATAATTCCTTCTAGGACCTGATACACTGTTTTAATGAAGTTCCCCCAAAAATACAGAGAAAAAAAAGTAGCCTGACTGAACACTGAGCCATAATTGTACGTAGCCACGTCTTTGACTTTCTGCTGCATTAATAATACAGCAGTATTAGTTTTGAAATATCTGAAGTGAATAATAGAAATTTGAAAAACAGTTTTATGCTGAAAACAGACACTCCAAGCAGGACTTCACAGCACATGATGGGAATAAATTAGAGCATAAAAGACAGAATAGCGTGCGTTTGGTCAAATGAGACGGTTCTGTCACTCAATTGCCTGAAGTGAAGAGTTAGTGCAATGCATTCCTGTGCAGGAGGCATTCTTACATTTATTCATTCCCAGAGCATATCTGCACTGTCCTTTGTCAGCACTTGATCTCCTATTAGGCATGACAAACCCAAAGATGTATAAACTGACATGTCACAGACATTTATGTTATTTGTGCTTTGAACCTGTTCGCAGCTTTCCCCCACCTTGGCTGGTAGCGTTAGCAGCTGTGAGCTCCCACTGCTTGTCCTGCAGCCAGTCACAATGACCTGCTTCTATTTCTCTGAAAAATCAGCTTGTCTGTCTGGCTTTTATCTAACCAGAGGCTGAAGCTGAAAGGAGCTGTGCAGCACCTACAACAGGCAGGCTCTGGGTACTGAACTCACACCATGACTGCTAATCATGGTAATTTTGCTATGCAGCAGCTGCTTGATTAAATCTTCAGCTACAGCAGCTTACAATATTGTCCCCATGTCCATTAAGACAGACTCTTCTAACTCAAAAAAGCAGCCTTCAATTAAGCCTACACATCCCACTCAACCTCTGCTAGAAAATGCATCCACCTGCTATACCTCACAAAGTCACTGACACATTTTTTTTGCCTTCCTAAATTTTCTCTTTTAACAAAGAAACTCATTCTAGCTGTTATTTCTTGCTGAAAGTGGACACAGTCAGAATATCAACACAGAAAAACTGGTGCTGTTCTGCAAGCAGTTATGAACAGGAAATTCTGGGAAAGCACTTCCCAGCTGCTCACCAAAGTCACATAAAGGTTTTCCTGCATATTCAGTCAAACAGAGACCTTTTCCTCTAACAAAAATGGTGCTGAGCACTCCAAGGTGTTTAAAATGGAAGAAAGAATGGATTTTATTAATGGCAAGGAGAAAACCATAATTTCAGACTTTCAAATGTCAGCAAAGAAAAGCAAAAAAAAAAACAAAAAACAAAAACTGGCACAGCAAAAAGTTACCCAGGAGGAGCAGAACCTGGAGCAGGTGCCTACAGAGTAGAATTGGTAACAAGCAGTTTCCTGCTATGTCTTTATTCAGTTCTCTATGAATTATCCACTAGAATTGAAATGTGGAACATATGCCAGTTTTGAAGTGCTTTGCTTCACTAGCCACTGGTAGAAACACAGAGGAAGAGAAAAACATTTGTTTCTCTTTTGTAAAAAAAAAAGAGAAAAAAAAAGAAAGAACTTTGAAATTCTGCAACCAGGGATTTTAACAAGAGCCACAAGGAAACCTTTCAGAGCAGCTTTACAGGCAATGGAGCATGAGATGATGAATCACAACAGCATTATGTGGCAGCTTGCATTTCAGGATGCAGGGCCACAAGTGGACAAGGGATGCTTAGAACTATGCAGTGATTGGAGATAGGGGTGAGGAAGATGGATGTGCCTGTGAAAGGTTTATGCACATTTACAGAAAACACAGAACTGAAAGGCAGTGAGCATCACCTAGAAGAGAAACAAGCCACTGAGAGTTCTCAGAAAGTGTCTAGAAAACATTTTTCAGTTTTATCTTAACATTGCTGATAGTTTAAAAGAATTCTTTAAAAACACCTTTTCAAAAAAATCCC